CACATCCCTCTTGTACTGGGGAGCCCAGAACTGGACGCAGTACTCCAGATGTGGCCTCACCAGGGCTGAGTAGAGGGGGACGATCACTTCCCTCGACCTGCTGGAGACGCTCTTCTTAATGCACCCCAGGATCCCGTTGGCCTTCTTGGCCACCAGGGCACACTGCTGCCTCATGGTCATCTTGTCGTCCACCATGACACCCAGGTCCCTCTCTGCGGGGCTGCTCTCCAGCAGGTTCACGCCTAATCTATACTGGTGTCCAGGGTTATTCCTCCCCAAGTGCAGGACCCTGCACTTGCCCCTGTTGAACCTCATGAGGTTTCTCACCGTCCAGTCTGTCCAGCGCAGCCTTCAGGGCTATCAGCTGCTCCACCCAGTTTGGTATCATCAGCAAACTTTCTGAGGGAGCACTCCAGCCCTTCATCCAGGTCGCAATTAGCATCATTTGTAGAAAGCTCTATTACTTGCAAGAGACTTAAGGACATTAGGACTGGTTTTTAATCTGTCCGGATATATTCAGAGACAGTTTAGGTCCTCTAGAACCTCTCAGAATGCCTACACAGGTAGTTATAGGCAATGGAGAGAGGAAAGACTTGATTTTTGAGAGCTTCCTGAGACACCAGTCTGACAATACCATGGTAAAGTAATGCCTCAGACAATTCTAATAAGCAGGGATTTTTACTTTGTTCTGCCATATTTGTAAGAATATGTAGGAGAACGGTGTAGATAATCTACATGTAAGATGCAGTCCAACTGATCTAAATTTAAAAAAAAAAAAAGTTTGGAATGGACCTTGAGAAGTTATGTTCAAGTAAATTTAAAGAATGTAGTTGCAGTTGAAGTTTATATGACCTGTTCTTGAAGACCTTGAGTCAGTTAGTTCCAGTGTCTGCAGTCCCTCAATTTAGTTATTTTTTTTTCCTCATGCTGGAATTCGAGTTTCTGGAACTCTATTTCAAACTCTTTATCAAGTAATATCACTACTGTAATCAAAACATTTCTCATGGATGGTTTTGTCAGCTTCTGGAATGTGGCGAGCAGAAGTAGGTTGGGATGCACACTCTGCTTCTCAAACTTCTGTTTTTCAGTGGATTGAATATGTTTTAATCCCCTTTCATGGGGAAGGAGGTGGAGGCAAATCTACTAACAACCTTAACTCCTTCAGTTTTAAATTGAGTGACATTGTTTCAGGTTGATGTGACTTTAATATGACAATTTGAATATGACAAATTGAAGTAGAGATGACAAAAATGTTTTGTGTTTTGTAAATGGTACTTTGCTTGGGCAGTCTTTAATATTCCACTGTTAAAACAGTTTTTGAGATTGTAGTTTGATAAGGAAGAAAAAAAATCTCAGTGCTGTGAGTAATCTCACCAGACCTTTAAATGGAACAGTTAAACATGCAGCCAAGGCTTTTTTTCACTGGATCTGTGACACTTAATATTGCCTAGTCAGATACTTTAGTTATTGGGAGCTTAATTTGTGGTATTCTGCTGGAGCTTCAGTCGCCTAAGTGAGATGTGTCCACGTGGTCTATCTTTACATGTTTTCTCTTCAGTATGTGCGATGGGTACCCACCAGTATTAGCTGTAGAAGCTGAATCTGCAGACCTATGTTACAGCTAAGCCAATAGAAAGGTTGGATGCAAGCAAAATAGGTGATTCTCTTCTGTCTTAAACTTTCACCGGTGTAGCTAATGCTCTTTTTCTTCTTCTTCTTCTTTTTTTTTTTTTTTTTTTTTGTCACTGGTCATTTTTTCAACTTAAATTTCTGCAGTTAGTTTCATGCTAGTTGACATCTCTGAACTAAAATTTTCTTGCTGTGTTAGTTTGTTTCCCTTATATACTGTGGTCCTAGAGAAACAACAGGTTCCATTTCAAGGAAT